TACGAAACAGAATACGTAACTTAACCCGGAACTCTCCTTCTATTCTACCGGTCCCCGCATGTCTTTCCTCCTACCGAGGTCTTATATAAACTAAAAAAGGAGGGCGTCTTGAACTAACTCGGTCTTTCCCGATAATTCATGATTATTCGAGAAATTCATCACGTGTTACCAGCGTCACGTGACTTTCGCTGTGGTAACAGTTTATTTTACATCAAAGACAGGATAAAGGTTTTGTTTGCGTAAATATTTCCACCAGGATATTTGACACTGACAATTCAATATCATAACAATTACACACTGAATATACTAATTGTCTAAAATATCTTAGGGAACACCAATCACCATGTTGGCATCCCTCTTTTCAAAAAACAATTTCACATGTATATGTTACAAACTTCACAATTGTCTTTGTTAAGATTAAAAATACACGAGTAATGTGATTAGATTTAATTATATTACAATCCCAGTAATTAATTTTGCTACAACTAAAAATAATAAAGGAATGACTTCATTTATCCATAGAGTTTCTATTAAAAGTTCACAAAACATTGAAACTAACTCGTAGACCCATATGATCTCGAACTTGTGTCAAAAATGATTATGCGGTTACACCCATACACTTACGCTATGAGGAAAGATGATGATCTCATTGTCTCAATAGAAAGAAGAGGCTGCCACTATCTTAGGGATCGTCTCATATTATTCTTTAACCAATTAGTTTACTAATATGGAAAAATACTTAAAACAGAAAAAAAATATCATTTTCTATAATTATTCACTTTAAGTTTAAATCATACCATACAAATAAACTCCCAAAACTTTGCAGCTATCATTCTATGTCATTGAAAGCCACTAAATAGACAGAAAATTCAAAGTTCTATTTGAGTTCAGTAACATTTCTGTCAGACTTTGACACTGCTCTTTTCATAGGTGGTCGTCACGTGGTCAATGATGCATAACAATTGAAGGGTTCGTCTAATACCTGCTTTATATACTTGTTTTATCACCACAATACCGAAAATTAGTTGAAAATCATAATCTTAGAAGAACCTTTAGTTATAAATCAAGTAATTGGATTTTGAAACTGTTACCGTGACATAAACTGTCTCTCATTTACACTTTATCAAATGTATAACAATCATCAGTTACAAATCATAGTTCAGTGATTTTCTTATATGAAACTCGCTTCTCATCATAGACTAATATACTATCTTTAGTATGTGTATATAAAATCTCAGACACACATACTGAAAAATTTGTTAACAAAACTTCATAATACACAATGATACTATTTACGAAAAACTTCTTAGTTTATAAATAAATGTCAAGCTTAGCATTTTATGGTTGAATTACACACCACGCATATTAGTTTCTAACAAATCTCTACTTGATATAGAAAACTTATGATTCATCATAACCCGATGTAAAATAGTTATTATATGTATGTAAAATCACATATTTAACAAGCATATAAAAACATTTGTGAACAAAACTTCAAGATATATTAATATGCTATTTAAGAAAATTTCTTAGTTTATAAAATACTGACATACACCTCAATGTATTAATACCTGCCGTATATACTTGTTCTAGCAGATTATCTAGCAGGTTGAAAATCACGAGAATCGTCCTTTTCCTTGACTTCACACTTTACTGACAACCAAAGTGGAAGGAAAGGGTTGTCACGTGGCTTTTCTACCGCAATCTGTGAAGATCATCTCCACTGAGAACAGGTGGTAAGTTTAGCTATAACCATTACTTTAAAAACTACATATCTGGTTCACAAACTTCTCTTAAAATCTCGGATACATCTGTGTAAATACCTTCTATTATAAATTTGTTTCTATCATCGATATAGACAGAAATTACTATTAATGGTTGGAGACGGCTTGAATGGGTAATGAAGAAAAACTTTAATATAAGTTTAACATAACAGCAAATGTACAACGTTTCGTCAAGGTTTTGTCATCATCAGGTACAAGTCCTAAGAAATTACTATTGTTTTGGTATTAGATGTTATCTAATGTTTATAAATGTTTATAGAAAAAAAATTCAATTTTTCAGAATATAGTCCCACGAGCACCAGTTGTACTCTACCGTGAAATCTGTAGAGAAGTGTTAATAAAAAAACTGTTAACTCATCATCAAACCTGCTAATAGAAACACTGATGCAGTTACAGCAAGATTTGTTGACAAAGAGCATAACTATCACCGAACTTGTCAATGACGAATATTGTCACATTTATGGGAAGAGTTGTCAACATAGAGCATAACCATCATCGAACTTGTCAATGACGAATATTGTCACATTTATGTGAAGAGTTGTCAACATAGAGCATAATCATCATCGAACTTGTCAATGACGAATATTGTCACATTTATGGGAAGAGTTGTCAACATAGAGCATAACCATCATCGAACTTGTCAATGACGAATATTGTCACATTTGTGGGAAGAGTTGTCAACATAGAGCATAACCATCATCCAATCTACCAAAGAAAACATTGCTACATTTGTGGAAATAGTTGTCTACAAAGAACATAATAATTGTCCAACCTACCAAAAGAAAACATTGCTACATCTGTGGAAATAGTTGTCTGGAAAGAACACAACCATTATCCATCATACCAACAGTAAAATTTAGTTGTCAATAAGCGGTTTAACCACATTCCAACCAATAAATTGTAGATATTGTAACAGTAATAGAAAAAGCTGGCACTAAAGGTTATTATCATAATCCAACCTACTAACATTCGACATTGTTACTTGTGTAGAAAAACTAATTAATCCACAAACAGCTAAACCGTCTTTCGTTTTGGTGATGATAACATTCCGTCTATAGAAATGAAATAAAGCACAATTCTTCTATGAAAGCATACAAGTTTCTAAAAGCATGAAATATAGAACAAGGCATCTCAGTCATATTGGAAAATTAAGATAACAAACTGATTTTTAAACCAGCTGAACTCAAATTCTGCTGAAATAATAGAATAAGTCATATCATCAGTTAAAGGGAAAGATAATTAAAACTGGCGTGAACTTAACTGTCCGTACTTAAACCCATGACAGAGTTAGGTAGTAAGCATGAATACGTTTGTTGTGTGTCTACTCCTTACTTGTGATCTCATTAAAGCACAAAACTTTACCGTTGGTAAAGTAAACACACCTATTCAAATTATTATCATGAATAATGAGCTCAAAGAGAATGACTCTTACAGTTCCGAGTTTCGCAACTGTTCCAAAGTTACGTTCAGAAAAGAAGAATTTCACTTTCTGAATAACAACACTATTTCCATTCCAATCTACAAGAAGGTCTATAATGACTCATGGTACAGGATAGAAGGAGAAGACGTGGTAGTCTGTCAATTATATTTTCCCACGTTTGTATCTTATATGGCTTATATAACATTTGTTGGCTTAGGAATTTCTATATTTTGTCTTATTCTTCATTTGATTCTTTTGTTATATATTCCATATTTCCGAAATACCGCAGGAAGGAACCTTGCTTCTCTTGTGTTGTCCTTGTTGGTTGCCTTCAGTGCTTTTCTTGTCGGAGAAAGTGATTTCATTTCACCTTCTGATTGCAACAGAGTCGCAGTTGTGACGTATTACTTCTTTCTTGCCTCTCTCTTCTGGATGAATGTTCTAGCCCTTGATGTATTCAGAACCATCAGACTTGGCGCTACAGAATTCCGTGTGGTTAGAGAAAAACAATGGCAAAGGTTCTTGGTCTACTCACTCTATGCTTGGGTAAGTCCTCTGGCGATAGTTATATTTGCTGTAGTAGTTGATCAAAATGAAAACTTCCCAGAAGAATTTAGACCAGGGTTTGGCTTATTCTCTAATTGTTGGTTCAGTCACAGAAGTGCAATTTTTGTATTTTTTGCTGTTCCCATGTTGATCACCATGGTTGCCAACGTTGTGTTCTTCCTAACTAGTGCATACTGGATCAAGACCGTAGGAAGCACGATAAGCGCTCTGCAAGGGAAAACACCTCGGAGAAACTGTGTTGTGTACTCCAGGCTAGCTGTCATATTGGGATTTACGTGGATAGTTGGACTTATCGCTAGTTACTCAGACATAAACTGGCTGAAGTGTATGTTTGTAATTCTGAATTCAGCTCAAGGTCTGTTTATCCTTCTCGCATTTTCCCGCACAACGAATGTAAGCGCTTTTCTTCGAGTTAAGGCTTTTGCTGCAACCAGAAGGTTCAGGAACACCAACCACCAATCTCCTCCAGACCTACTGTTACATGCCTCACGAGCATCCAGAAATACAGTAATAGAACTCTTAGAGAATACTCAACAATCCTCAACAGCTTCCCAAAATAGGGAAATAAATACCTTGTAGTCAGTAGACAAACACAACACGGAATTAAATACCTTGTAATCAGTGGACAAACAAAACACGGAAATAAATACTTTGTAGTCAGGGATCAAACAAAACACGGAATTAAACACCTTGTAGTCAGAGGTCAAACAAAGCACGGAATTAAGTACCTTGTAGTCAATGAACAAACAAAGCACGGAATTAAATACCTTGTAGTAAGCGGCCAAACATAACATGGAATTAAGTACCTTGTAGTCAGAGGTAAAAAAAGCACGGAATTAAATACTTTGTATTCTGTTTGTTTGAAGTTAAGCACAAAGCTACACCATGGGCTATCTGTGCTCTGCCCACCACGGGTATCGAAGCCCGGTTTCTAGCTTTGAAAGTCCGCAGTCATACCGCTGTGTCACTGGGGGCACTTTGTAGTCAACGGTTTGATTTGATTTGTCTGAAGTTAAGCACAAAGCCACACAATGGGCTATCTGTGCTCTACCCACCACGGGTATCGAAACCCGGTTTCTAGCGTTGTACATACCGCTGTGCCACTGAAGGGGGGGGGCGTAGTCAACGGCCACACAAAACACGGAATTAAATCTTATAGTCAACAGTCAAACAAAGCGCGGAATTAAATACCTTGTAGTGAGCAATGAAATAAAGGGTGTAGAAGTAAATACCTTGTAATAATACTTTATTTTTTAAGTTCATAAATCTTCTGTATGTAAATGAGAATATATATATATGTTCGCGACTCATAAAGAGATAAATGTCAATTTTTTTATTTGTGCTTCCTGAGTTTAATTATCGTTTAAAAGGTAGTCTCTTTTGTTAACAACTTTACTCTAAAACTTTCCATTGACACTGGAAATACAAAGGAGTAGTACGTTATATTAAAGCGATTTAGGAGCCTAACCACGTCGTTAAAATCCATGTCGCTACATCCGGTCGTACTCTACCTGACGACCGTGCATTTTGATAATAGTCTAGCAGCATAGTTTCCACTGCAAAAGACTCTGTCGTAAGGGTTTGATGTCAAAAACATACCACTCATCTTTGCGTGCTTTCCACACTTCACCTAAGTAACCTGTATTGCTTTTCCAGACGGAAATTTTTGTGGTTTATGTTTGGTACTGCTGCTATGCCAGGGACACGCGGGCGGCTTTTGCCACTGATTTTTGTGTCCGTAGATTCCCACCTGTTACAAGAGACTACACTTTGTTTACCACAGCTGGGGTGCGATTTGTTGCGGTTCTCTTTCTGGATATCTAGTGTTCACAAGTTAATCAATATTCCTTTTATTTAGTGTTTCTTAATGGCATTAAGTACATGGGTTATCCCCGTTTTGGAAATTCTAAATCCTCGATTTGAACATACCTTCATTTCTGAGTGTATGAATATTTTGTGTTCGAAAGGTCAGATACACACCCTTCGCTACCAATATTTGGTAGCATCAAACAATGTAGTTGTAATACAATCTGTTCCACTGCCACTTTTCATCGACTGTGGGTGGCACTGGCTTGGTGATTTATGTATACAAAACATTTTTTAATATAACGTACTCAACACTGTATTTTTAAAACTTAAATTTTGACAAAACAAGTTTTTGATTTCTTTGTGTCGTCAGGTCGGCTTGATTACAACATTGTTTAGAAGAATTAATTATAGCACTAATTTGTACGATGTTCACAACATAGTATGAAACGTTGTTTAAAATAGTCGTTTATGAGGTTAACTTGTACGTTGTTTACAACATTATTGAAACGTTGTTTAAAACAGTCGCTTAGAACATTAACTTATAAAGTGTTTATAACATTGTTGAAACGTGGTTTAAAATAGTCCATTAGAACACTAACTTGTACATTGTCTCAACAAAGTATTAAACGTGGTGTAAAATAGTCCATTAGAACACTAACTTGTACAGTGTTTCAACAAAGTATTAAACGTGGTTTAAAATAGTCCATTAGAACACTAACTTGTACAGTGTTTCAACAAAGTATTAAACGTGGTTTAAAATAGTCCATTAGAACACTAACTTGTACATTGTCTCAACAAATTATTAAACGTGGTTTAAAATAGTCCTTTAGAACAAAACTTGTACAGTGTGTACAAAATAGGTCCCCCAGTGGGACAGTGGTAAGTCTTCGGACTTACAACGCTTAACTAATCATTTTTTGTTCATTAATCCTACAAAAACAAACTTATTATATGTAATCTGTAATTATTTTTGCTATACCAACATAAACACATCGTGGAATCTTTGCCCTCATAGGATGTGATTGCGAGTGTAATAATAAGTGTAAAATCCATTAGTTACAACTCACAAGAAACAGTTTTTAATTATTTAAGTCATTATAAACCTCCCCTCTTATAAATAATTCTCTTTCTCGAGCTTAACACAAACCGAACTTCTTGGACACCATTTGACCTATCAGTTTGACCCGGAATTTGATCCCTAATCAATAAGGAAACCCTGGATACTGTCAGAAAGTCAGATTTAACCACTAAAATAAAACTGCCTTCTTGGAGTGATATGACATTTTTGTTTCGTAAAGAGCATATATCTTTACACACACTTAAGAAAATATTGTTTTCCTGTAATATAGAGATTTGTAATTTTATGTTACATCCGTTGTCAATAGTACAAATTCAGAAACTTGTCTTGTCTTCTTAGATTACTACACGTGAACTGATCCAATTTGAGATTTAAAGAATATCTGCCAATGATACTTGTTGCGACTGACCACTTTGTGCTTTGGCAATGTGTTGTTTTTTGAATAACGCTTATATGAAATGTCAGAATGACCACAAATAGTGAATTCTCAGATATCCAACGATTTCTCGAATCAAGGAGAAACTAATTTTGCCAAATAATTTTTTACTGTCCTTACTTCTCTTCAATTAACAAAAATGGTTACTTTTTACTAATATAATATGGTCTATAACTATAAAAATAATAGTAATTTTTGGCAAGAAAATGGATTAGTGAAAAACAGTTTTCCTCTATATATTTGCAAGAAACCAATCAGGGGAAGAAGATGAAATGTGAAACCAATCAAAACGTTATGAAGGCAAAAAAAAGTTCGTTTGTTTTTTTCTCAGGAAATTTGTTAAATAGCTGTCATAAAAGTCAGCTGTGTATTTCTGAGGTTTAGTCCACAATCCTTCAATTGATATCAGCATTTTGTGTAATTTTAAGTACTTACAGTTGAAATCAGTTTTTAGTGAATAGTCAGTTTACCAGCACTGTTAGTTTCTTAGGATCTTGTTGCTATATTATCAGTATATTACATGCGGTTTTCTTTATAATTGTTTCATTTACTTCACGTAGCATCTTCTTCACTCGATTCTTCCATTTTAAAGTGATGTATCTATATATATAAAAAAGGAAGTTTGTTTATTTGTTTGCTATAGGAAACCAAACGGTTGAACTTACAAATTTTAAAATAACTTCATAATAACCAGTTTTTTTACGAGAAATTTAATGGTGTCATTTATTTTGTATAGTATTTAATGAAGAAATTGACAATTAATGATTATTGCGCCATTTTTTTGTAATACATTTTTGACCATGACAACAAGATCATTATATCTACAATCAGCACAGTGGTCCAAAGTGTTAATGAATTAACAGAAAAAGTATTTACTAGCTTTAGTTATCACTACAAAGACTTTACTTGGTTGTGTGAAAAGAACAATATTGGCACCGCAAAATGTGACAGTTAATTCTATCAACCAACAACTACTCCAACATATTCCAGGGAATCCTTATATTTACAAATCAGTTGATACAGTTATCGATCAAAAAGAAGTTGTCAACTATCCAACGGAGTTTCTAAATTTTTTGGAATCTCCAAGATTGTCTCCTCACCAACTACAACTTAAAGTTGGAGCTCCTATAATGCTTCTACGAAATTTAGATCAGCCTAAGCTCTGCAATGGTACCAGATTAATAATAAAGGCATTACAGCCTCATGTCATTGAAGCACAAATTCAAACTGGTTGTGGCCAGGTTGAAGATACTTTTATTCCTAGGATACCTCTAATAACATCAGAGATGCCGTTTCAGTTTAGGCGCTTACAATTTCCAGTAAGATTAAGATTTGCCATGTCGATCAACAAATCACAGGGACAAACAGTGAAAGTTGTTGGGCTACAGTTACAAGCAGACTGCTTCTTTCATGGCCAACTGTATGTAGGATGCTCTAGAGTAGGAACAGCTAACAATCTTTATGTATACTCTCCTTTTGGAAAAACATGCAATGTTGTATACAAAGAAGTATTGTAAATTCTAATTTCAAATAAAGCTTTGTTTGATTAATTGATTTTTAATTTCTCGCATCACAGCTTTTGTCTACTTATTGAATAATTTGCTGAAAAAATTACTGATCTATACATTTCAAATCTAAATTTTCACCGTGCAACGCCGGGTAACTCAGCTAGTATATATACAAAACTGGTCAGAATACTACATTGATTTTAGTTTGTAAAATAACAATTTGAAGTTTTGTTTTTATATTAATATATATATAAAACGATGTCCAAGAGTAAGCTCTAAACTTCAAGTTAAAGTTTACAGAGTTACTTACAACAAGTGGTTAAAGAGTAAATCTCATAGCGTGTATTTACCAAGTAAACAAAGAGATATATAGATCAATTATAGTGTAGCATATCATAGCATGCATTTGTCGAGTACACAAAGTGAACTTAGTGATATATAAATCAATTATAGTCTACCATCTCATAGCGTGTATTTACCAAGTAAACAAAGAGATATATAGATCAATTATAGTGTAGCATATCATAGCATGCATTTGTCGAGTACACAAAGTGAACTTAGTGATATATAAATCAATTATAGTCTACCATCTCATAGCGTGTATTTACCTAGTAAACAAAGTGAACTTAGTGATATATAAATCAATTATAGTCTACCA